CGAGTGATCCCTGGTGCAGTGGCAAAAACCCGGCTATGAGCCCTACCATCCAGGGCTCAAGTCCGAGAGGGATGCAAGTTTTGCAGGTCGGGTGGCGAGGCTGGCGGTTTCAACTAGGGTCATGTCCATGTTTCCACGTTCTCTATTCCTCGCCAATGGGTGTAAATCACCACATTTGATTGCCAGTCTAGGGCACTTTACTACCCTTCCAGGCCATTCTCCTGAAACAAGAATTTTTTATTGAATGGCATTCTTCCTCTTCAAAGCGATGCAGTGGGAAACGGTAAAAACCATTGAAATCTATGTATTATACATAGATCAACAATTTAGATAATCCTAAAGGGATCTTCTTACCGCCAGAGGTTTCTATTAGTGCTCCAGAAGTCAACCAACGCAGTTCGGTGCACTTTCCCCCACTTTCGTCTGAAAGGATGGGAGTTTCTCCACAAAAATTTTTCGCTTGTGCTCACTGGAACATGATATATTTTAGTAAGAAATCTCGCTCTAGGATGCGCCATTCAATCGTCTGTGGTGCGTAGTCGCAGTGGCAGTTGAAAGTCTGTCTTCCTTTGCTACGTCTTGGCAGCTTCTAATTTTGTGTGTGGTTCCTGAGGTACGGCTCCCCTCCTCTTCCATCGGCAAATACGAAACCCTCGTTGTTCTGTGCGCGACGGGCGGTCGACCCTGGTTCGGGTCCAGCCTAGCCGAAAGATTTGTCGCAGCATTCTTGAAAAGTTACATGGTGAACTAGTATGCCCAAAAACAGTAGTTTACAATAGACTCAGTCAAAATCAGAAAGATAGTTCTTTCTCAGAACGAGCTATTGATAAAAAAATTCTCTGTAAAGTTCTAGAATGGCTTGAGGTATCGATTCTGAATAACATTCAGCAATTGTTAATGGTAGCTCTACAATGGACGACGTACCGCCTACGCAATTCAGGCATGGCACAACAAGTAAGCTAAAAAAGGTCCTTCTCGCACACACCTTTTTTGTGGAGGGGAAATTTTGCCTTCAATGATATTAGGACGGACTACGGATGTCAGTTTTGAACAATATTCAACAGTTACTGATGGTAGCACCACAACTGATCCTGTATCGTCAAAGCAATCAACAAGTGAGCCAAAAATAATGCTTCTTTCTAACACTTTCCTTGCTAATGGAAAATTCGCCTTCCATGAAATTTGATGACTGCAGATGCCAGTCCTGAGCCACGTTCAACAGTTACGAGTGGCAGTTCCTCAACTGATCCTGTACGGTCAACGCAATTAACGAGTAAGCCGAGAAGAATGCCTCTTCTTAAGACTTTTCTTTGCTGATGGGATTCGCTTTTCACGAAATTTGAAGTTTGTTTTTTGAAGTTTGCTTTCGCAGATGCCAGTTCTGAGCCACGTTCAGCCGTTACGAATGGCAGTTCCACAACTGATCCTGTACCGTCAACGCAACTAAGAAGTAAACCAGGCATAATGCCTCTTTCTAACACTTTTCTTTATTAGTGGTAAAATTAGCTCCCCTCCCCCGATATTTGTTGTTTGTTTTTTGAAGTTTGAATTTGCAGATGGTCATGAGCCACGTTCAACGGTTTCGAATGGCAGTTCCACAACTGATCCTGTACCGCCAACGCAACTAAGAAGTAAGCCAGGAATAATACCTCTTCCCAACACTTTTCTTTGTTAATGGGAAATTCGCCTTCTATGAAATTTGACGATTGTAGATGCCAGTCCTGAGCCACGTTCAACGGTTTCGAGTGGCAGTTCCACAACTGATCCTGTACGGTCAACGCAATTAACAAGTAAGCCAGGCATAATGCCTCTTTCTAACACTTTTCTTTGTTAATGGGAAATTCGCCTTCAAACGAAATTTTGTGACGATTTGTAGATGCCAGTCCTGAGCCACGTTCAACGGTTTCGAGTGGCAGTTCCACAACTGATCCTGTACGGTCAACGCAATTAACAAGTAAGCCAGGCATAATGCCTCTTTCTAACACTTTCTCTTTGTTAATGGGAAATTTGCCTTCTATGAAATTTGTTTTTTGTTTTTGAAGTTTGAATTTGCAGATGTCAGTCCTCAGCCACGTTCAACGGTTTCGAGTGGCAGTTCCACAACTGATCCTGTACGGTCAACGCAATTAACAAGTAAGCCAGGCATAATGCCTCTTTCTAACACTTTTCTTTGTTAATGGGAAATTCGCCTCTATGAAATTTGTTACGAATGGTAGATGCCAGTCCTGAGCCACGTTCAACGGTTTTATTGAAGTGGCGAGGATTTCCACAACAACTGATCCTGTACGGTCAACGCAATTAACAAGTAAGCCAGGCATAATGCCTCTTTCTAACACTTTTCTTTGTTAATGGGAAATTCGCCTTCAATGAAATTTGACGATGGTAGATGCCAGTCCTGAGCCACGTTCAACGGTTTCGAGCGGCAGTTCCACAACTGATCCTGTACGGTCAACGCAATTAACAAGTAAGCCAGGCATAATGCCTCTTTCTAACACTTCTCTTTGTTAATGGGAAATTCGCCTTCTATGAAATTTGTTTTTTTTTTTGAAGTTTGAATTTGCAGATGTCAGTCCTGAGCCACGTTCAACGGTTTCGAGTGGCAGTTCCACAACTGATCCTGTACGGTCAACGCAATTAACAAGTAAGCCAGTCATAATGCCTCTTTCTAACACTTTTCTTTGTTAATGGGAAATTCGCCTTCTATGAAATTTGAAGTTTGTTTTTTGATGTTTGAATTTGCAGATGCCAGTCCTGAGCCACGTTCAACGGTTTACGAGTGGCAGTTCCACAACTGATCCTGTACGGTCAACGCAATTAACAAGTAAGCCAGGAATAATACCTCTTCCCAACACTTTCTCGTTGTTAATGGGAAATTCGCCTTCCAATGAAATTTGACGATTGTAGATGCCAGTCCTGAGCCACGTTCAACAGTTACGAATGGCAGTTCCACAACTGTTCCTCTACGGTCAACGCAATTAACGAGTAAGCCAAGGAGAATGCCTTCTTCATAAGACTATTCTTTGCTCCACGAAATTTAAGTTTACAGCGACTGTGGAGGTGTAGATATGTAAATTCTGCTGTATCCTCAGATTAGAGTCCCACGCGGTCCAAGTTCGGATCTACGAGTCACCACAAATTCGTTGAAATCTTCCACACGAACGCTTGGAAGTTTTATTTGGACATGACACAAATGTGGAAGTGTTCAAATGTAGCACCAATGGGGAGCTAAAGCGAGGAGGTAACAAGGAACCAGAAGCTAGAAGAGAAGCAAGAAGGAAGCAAAGAAGCCCCTACTGTTTGCGCAGGGGGTATTTATACTGAGCACCAACAAAGAAGTGTTTTGTACAAGACACCAAAAAAGTTGTTGATGGCTTAATCTTTTCAAGAAGGGTAAGTGACCTATTGGTGAGCCATGAGAAACAGTCATGAGAAAGAAAGTACAGTCTTTCATGGAATACAGATAAAGCAAACTGTAGACAAAAACAACAGAAAAAGTTGCGGGGATAGAATACATGTAAAAAGTGCAATTGAACTATTGGGTTGACCCATAATTTCTGGCCGAATTTCAACACTTTGATTTCTTCAAGTTTTATCTTTCCTTAAAAACGATTGATCAAAAAAGTAACCACCATCATAATCACTGATATGCACCACTTGCTAGGGAACGAATGGATGCATTCCTCCCAGAACGAATGAAGCTGTGAGATGAAAAGTTCGGAGAGGTCGTTTTTGGGGTGGTTGTATTTACTGACTTTTTCTCTCCTAGCTGCTGCTTCAGGGAGCTGGGGAGGTGATAGTACGATGGAGCAATGTCAGGGCTATACGACAGATGTGGTGTCGTGGTCCAGCCAGTTTCCTCGAAACGTGGCGAGTTATCTTTGCAATGTGATTTCGGGCGGTCCTTCGGAGAAAGGAGATTTTGAGACGTTTCGAACCGTTCTCCCGCACTGCTGTAGCCAACTTCGGGAGCTATTCCATGGTTCACCTTCGCAATGCTTGTCTGCATAAAGTGAAATGGTTCCCAAAACAGGATACCCAGCGAATCCAACGAACCGGGGGTAATATCCTCTGATGAGAGAGCTCATGCTTTGGTCGAGATGGTGAGTCCAGGCTGCGAGGTAGCCACAAGGCGTGCTGTGTGTTGTTATCGTGGTGGACTCATGACTCATCTGCACTAGTGACCAACTAGGGAATGTCGTGTCTATATGGTCGAAGAATGAAACTTCTGCAGATGGTCAGGCGTGCTTCTCGGTCATGGTCAGTCGATGCATGCTGTTTCCATCGAGTCTCATTCTGCTACAGCCCCTTTCATTCAGGTGTCGACTCATGGAGCGTAGGCTGCGTCCAGATGTTTGCTACAGTTTCCTGCTAATAGCGTCGGATGCACTTCCTATTCGTTGCGCAAGGGTCCTCATCGAAAGTGACTGGAGGTCCATGATGAGGTCGAACTTTGCAGCTCCTATCTTATTTGCCGATGCTATTGAGCCAATAGCTCAGTGCCCGATCAGTAGCAAAGACTGGGGCAAACGTAGCGCTGATCTTGCCTACCGCGCTCCTTGCAAGGTTCTTCTTAAAATTGTCGTAAGGCATAATCGTTGGGTTTGGTGTTGATCTATTTTGATTCCTACTTAATTATCCCTTTGCGCATTTGAGCTTCTGAAACATCCTGGCTGAAGGTCCTGATGTGTTCTTCAACATATCAACTTATTTCGATATGAAGTTAATTTGACATATTGAAAATTGAATTTGAACCAAAATCGGCCAGAAATTATGGGTCAACCCAACATATAAGAAGTTAAATTCCACTTGCATTGACGGCAAGTGAAACGAGTGGTGAGGGTATGTTTACAAAAGCGCAGCCTCTTGATGGGCCTACAGATAAAGAGGTCTGCGCACAAAGAGTCTCGCGTATCGATTGAGTGAATTCAACCGACTTGTAAGCTGAGACAAAATTTGGTGAATAACGACGTAAAGTCGTTATACTTCGGATGCTTTTCTGCTAGAATGGGTGAAGCTATGAGCTGAAGAATTCAGCAAGGTCGTTTTGGAAGTGGTTGTATTTGGTGACTTTTTTCTCTCGCCGCTGCTGCCTCAAGGCACTGTGAAGAGGGAAGC